GTGCCATGAACCAGCCACATTGCTGCTCCAGTCTGGAATTCTCTCCTCCTCCCTGGCACTCTCTCCTTTTCCCAACAAGTTCCTCCTCATCCTGCTGCAAGTCAAACCACCCCACTAGGCCTTACACTTTCTGAGGGAAGGAACCATGACTTGAATTTATGTTTATATCCTTAACTTCTAGCCCCAAACTTGGAGTTTAGCGTGTGCTTCATTGGATGGGTTAAATGTGTGGCAGTTTCATTCTCTCAGAACTCTGCTGTGGGTTGTGGGTACCATTATGCCCTCCGGACCCCTCTGTGGATTTGCAGCTGAGTCAGGCTGGTCCAGTCTCCAGCCCACTCTGTACTTCATTCTGCTCTGTGGTTTCTCAACTGTTGCTTAGCCTCAGGTGCCCAGATTTTACCCCATAACTACTAGAGCATTCGTACCCTATGAAGCTGGATGTTTTTCAGGGAGTCATATGGAGTCATGTGGACAATGCCCATAAGTGGTATCAAATCCATGAAGCATCCTTGTGTTGGCTTTCCCTCCTTCACTACTTTCCTCTCCGTGTTGCTCACTTCAGCTTCCTGGGGGCACACCTCCCAGTAAAGTATGTCACGCAGGCCTTCACCCTAGGCTCCGCTTTCTGGGACACTTAGCGTAGGACATTTGGAGATTGGATGATATTCAGAGCTCTTTATTTAGTTCTTTCACAGATTTGTTTTCAAAAGTCAATTCCTTTAAATATAGTTTTATTCTTTTCATGTGAATGTCATTCTTTTAGACTGAGAAGTCAGAAACACAATTATAGTTTAGTAACCTGAGGTTTTTTTGTATTTTCTTTTTCTGTTTTACATTACCATTGCTTAGCTTGGGCGTATCTTCCCTTTCAATGCTCTTATTTTGAACATGTTAAAAAACTTTATCTCTAGCATTTTTTTTTTAAACCACAATTCAGGAAGTAAAAGAAATTGCTCCCTGGTGGCAGAACAACAGAATTGTGAGCCTGTCTGCCCAATGATTGCAGTGAAAGTGATATCTCTATTTGGGTTGACTTTGACCTTTAAAAGTCTTATTTCCTGAGAGTAAGTTTCTAGAAACCTAGGGTCAAAGGGCACAACAGTCACATATGACCCCCTTGCCTTCTCACTGATATAGAGAAGTGTGAATGCAACAGTGTAAGCAAAGTCCCTCTCCCTTTCTCCTGGTGTCCTTTCACACACACATGTGCACTTGCACTGGCTTTAATTTTTAATTTCTTTGATCCAGAATATATGTTGGTAGTTTGCAGTTTTTCCTTTGTAAGTTGCTTATTTTCTTCCAACATCCTAATAAACCTTTTTAATGTTTTAAATAGCCCTCCAGACACAGACGGCCTCTGTGAATCACCTTGGAAGTTCCACCTTTATTCCCCACTCACTGGCTTCTCAGAAAAAACCACTTGGTTGACTTGAGATGTAGAGTGAAGGAATGAAAAAAAAAAAAAAAAACCATGGGTTTCTAAATTAGAAAGTTTAGTGCAGGGTGTGACTTGCTGTATATTTTAGCAAGTTTCATCATTGCCGAGCTGAGAGATCTATATACCGGAATTCTGGGAGAGGCATGTCAAGTAAGGAAGGTTCAACAACTGACTAATGTGGTCCCTGGTTATTCTCATTCTCAACTCTTCTACGTTGTCATCTCTGCTTTTTTAAAGCTAAATCCGGCCAGAATCTTGGTTATAGTCCACCGTACCCATCTGTTTCAGCCAGAATTACTCAGCTTTACATCTTAGCACATCAGTATCCCAGAGATTTCCATACTCTTAACATTGCAATAAAAAGCCCTGAAGGACCTTGCTAAATATTAGAAACTTCTAGGAATTCTAAGTTCCAATTCTAAATGACTTTATTACGTGTTCCCTTTAGGCTATACAGAGCCAGATTTGGGGGAATCAAACAGCAAGGAAATGGCTTAGAATGTAGGTCTGGTGCTGCAACATCCATTGCATGGTTGACATTTGCATCAAACAGAAAGGACGAGACCAGCTGTTTTTTAAATGTAAAGCTTGACTACTCTTTAAGACTTGACTGCTGCTTTGAGATGAGCTTTGAATTATATATATGACTTCAAGGGAGAAGAGTTGGTCAACAAAATTGGAATCTTTGTAAAATTGTATGTTCCTAGTCAGCCAGCCCCATTACTGTTTGTATAACTCTACATCTAATGCATGTAATTCTCTACCAGGCAGGTCTTTTCAACTAGAAAAGGGAGTAAATAATCTGGATTCTTCAGGAAGCTCCTAAGATATGAAAGTAGGTATCCAAATGTATACATGAAATTTTTACAAAGATAGCACTTCTTAGTCTTTCTGATGATCCTATAAAATGCACAGGTCTCTTCTTTCCCTTATAAAAACATTCCCTTGATGCTGAATTTCTTACAAGTTAATATACTTTCCACTTACTCTTCATAACAGGTTCTTAAGAGAGTTCTATGTATGTTCTCTTCATTTACCCTTGCCTCAAATTGCATTTCTATGATTTTATCCCAAGGAAATAAGGACAAATACAAACAAATTATATATAAAGATGCTTGTTTACCCTTATTACAGTAATACAAAGGGCAACAATCTAAATTATTGATAAAAGGAGGCTTTTAAAGAATGATGGCATATAAATCAGATAGAAATTATGCAGCACACAACTGAAAAGCACACTGTCAGGGTGGATGGGATGGCTCTCCGCTGCAAGACCGGGTCAGGGCCTCCTTGTTTTGTTACCCTACTATGTCTCACTCTTAGACCTACAATTAATTCATGGGCCAGGGTGACTACTTCATTCCTACAAACTTCAGCCAGCATGAGGAAGGACATCACAAAGAAAGTGGGGCAAAGGCCATTCACCAACTGTCTCTTAAGAAGAATCCAAAGGCTGACTCACAGCACTTCTGTTTACATTCTGCTAGCTTGTTTATCTAACACAGAATTGTTAATAGATCAGAGGAAAAGGAGAAACTGCAGAAGTTATTTCTTGCACTCATGCTTTAAACTGATGAGGATTGAACTTTAGGCAAAGGACAACTCAGATAGTAGATCTGAAAGGAGTCACTTTTTGTACATTTATCTCAAGTTTTCCAGCATCAACTTTTATAGTTTACTACCTTGATCTAACTTGCTCTCCTCCCCATTTCATATACTTTATCTGTTCATAATGTTGCTATCTTCCAAAGCTCTTGTATATTATAATCCCCAAAGCTGGTATAACTGCCTTTGACTCAAACAGAGACAACTATCAACCACCTAGTGCCTACTAGGCTCCTAACAGTGCCTAGAAGTTTAATTATATGTTGTTGCTGTTATTTAAATAAATTGTCCTTCTGACTTGGATTATGCAAACTACCACCTAACAAGTAGAAGAGTAGACATAGGTCTGCTTTCATATTTTGACTTTGGATAGAAAATAATAGAATATTATATCAACTAGGTGCCAAGTGGAGGGTCTGGCCACAGTTGTTCAGTAAGGTTTCTACATATAAGGAAGATATATAGTAAAGGATTTGGCCTTGCCCAAAGAGAGATCTAGTCCTTGGTTTTTGTGTCATGCCTGATAGCAATGTCTTTATTTGGGGTAGGTAGGACTTTGGGCCATGCAGTATCAATCTACATGAAAGCTAAGACCAACCACCAACCAATCAAGCATAATAATGGAATCCCAATAAAAAACTTGAACACCAAAGCTCAGATAAGCTTCCCTGGTTGGCAATACTCCAGGACTATCTCATATAATATAACCTGGGACTATCTCATCTTTATAGAGGACACATCTCATGCCCATGTGGCATGGTAAGCAGAGAACTGGAACTTGGGCCTTCTGTCATCCTTGCTGATAAGCCCTCTACCTCATTACCTTTGATAACTCTGGAGCACTTTATCATGTGCAGTACTCCATCCTTGTGCTTCTGGGGTGGGGCTGGTTGTTAACCTTTGCCATGTCTCCCTTCCCTGTGCCTTGAGTCCTGATTGCCCACCAGTGGCCTCTATGTCCCTCCCTACAGTGCTCTCTACTATCCTCTGAACTCCTGGTAAGATGCAGATCTGGCAGAGATCTCTGCTCATGAGATCAGCAACTGGAAGTGGGAGATGTTGCTAAATATTTTGGCTTTGCAGTCAAGAAACCTGACTTTATTTTTTCCTTACTGATTAATTTTTTTTTAATTTTCCTGTATCATTGTTCATTTTGGATAGTATTTGATTTTTCCACTCAGATGTAGTCTCTCTAGTTCTCCCACCACCCTATCACCTGTGATTCACTACCAGAGTCCCTTGTGCTCTTCACTGTCTTGACCCCCTTCTCTCTCCCTCCCCTACTGTATGCCTCATATCTATAGTTTGCCTACAAATTCTGTCTTCTTCTCCCCCCATGTTCCTCCTACAAATGAAACCATCCGATATTTTTCTTTTTCCTTCTGACTTATATCCCTGAGCATAATCGCCTCCATCCATGTTGTTGCAAATGGCATGAGTTTATCTTTTTTGATTATTGAATAGTATTCCATTATGTATGCATAGCACATCTTGACCCACTCATCTGTTTTTGGGCATTCAGGTTGTTTCCATAGCTTAGACACTGTAACTAGCGCTGCAGTGACCATAAGAGTACAGGAAGAAGCCTTAGTTTAAGGTGTTATTAGTATTACTCTTATAAAAATACGTATCATTCTGCCTTGCATCTAAATTTACCCCTGGATCTCCTCATATCATCAGCAGAGCCTTATCTCATTGTTGTCTGTTTCTTCCCTTCAACAACAAGCACTAAGCTCCAAAAGTGTGTTGCATTGATTTCTAGCTGAGTCATGCTTCTAAATCTTATTTAACTGAAATCTAGATAATTAAGGGTAGATCCCCATACACACAATTCCTATCACAAAACTGGCATATACTGCCAAAACCTGTGAAGTTCTCCCCAGGGAGAAGTTCTTCACGGGAGAAGTTGATGCCTGATTCAAAATGGTGTTCAAATTGTGTTTCTTCTTCCCAGGGACTTCCCAGATGACCCATGTGTACAGTGGGACACAAATCATGTGGCCAGTATCCTCCTACAGCACATAAAAGCGAATGGCATCAGTCTGGTAAGGAGATGACCTCCCAGAATGCAAAGCACAGGGCCCCAGTCGCACCTGTGTTGTGCCCACCCTACCACCGCCGGTCCTTCTCAAGGGCCACTCTGAAAGGAGGCCAAAACCCCCAGTGTGCTCCCTTAAACCTACCCAGGACCAAACACACCTTTTGTGAGCCTGGGTAACTGAATTACAGTGCACATATAGAGGAAGAGGTTTTCCCAAACTCTGTCCTCTAACTCCTCACTCCCTACCTCTGCCCTGCTACCTAAAAACTCAGGCCTCCCCAAAGCCTGGGCCGTGACTCTTATATACAAGCACACCTTTTTCACATTTAGAGTGTTACTTTAACTTTAGAGGTAAACATTGTTTTAATTCTTAGTTTACATTGAAGGAACTGAGGTCTCCAGAGTCTGAGTAGCTAATCCAATGTAGGCATGTGGTGAAGGTAAGATTTCAAGCCTCCTTTTCTCACTCCAAATAGCATGAGGATAAGTTCGTACCCAATACAGGGAGAACATCTGGTCACAGTTAGAGAAGTAGTGCAGATTTACATTTACTGGCAGAGATGGCCAGGTATCGGGATGCCCATCTGAGCTCTACTGGGATCCACTGGCCTGGACCTCACCAGTGGTCGATTTTAAGGCTGCCAGGAAAGCTTACTGTCTACCTCCTAGGTAATAAATTACTATAATCATCATCATCCTTAATGGGTTAAAGCCTAAAATTCCAACAAGTTAAAGCCACAATCTTTTAGTTTAAATTTTGATCAATCCTCATTAAAAAATTAGTCCTGGCAGAACAATATGTTAGACTTTTATCACTGAAGCCCCTGAGTGACCTGATTGATTAGACCTTTCTTAAGAGCAGATTTTCACTGATATGTTGAGTGTCCACACATGCAGAAAGGGGTGCTAATCTGGTTCACTCTAAGTCATGTAAACAAAGTTATAGGTGGCCTCTGAGCCTTCTGGGACTCTTCACCATCTTGCTCTGTGCACTGGCTTCATCCTTTTTACCTGACTGGAAAAATGGTCATCAGCAGCTTACAGGTCTTACAGGTCCATACCTCTCAGCATTACCTACCCAGAGAGGCTGGGTATGAAGCACTTTTGGCCCTTGAATTTAGAAATCAAAGGTCCAGCCCAATTTCAGAACTTCTTGAAGCGCCACTCTAAACAGATAGACAGAGCTGGTAAAGAAATGGGTCAGTGAAGTGTGCTGTGCTGCCCCTTGTTACCCCATTTTCCCAAGGTAGTAGTGTCCTCAGGTCCCCAAATAATGTTTCTCTCCTCCCCCACTTTAGTGCATAAGAATGGCTGGTCTTCCCAATAATGCCTGCTTGTAGGATAAACTTCCATCTTCTTGAATTTGGACCTTTTGGTCTGGCCCTTGATTAAATTTAGGCAACAGATTGGCCCTTGCTGAGGGGCTTCTTGTTTAGCTCATGTTGCACCTAGCTTCAGCTTTGAATATCCAGGGAGGGACTTATAAGTCCACACTGCTTGGCCTGCCATGCCTGCTCGCAGAAGTTTCCAAAGTTTGTGTCCAAGTAAGTGATCTGTGGCTCAAGAACAGAATCAGCTCATCCTTACCCTTTTACACAGAATAATAAGATAATAATAATGTACTTAAGTTATCTTTTTAAATAGACTACATATATATGCATGTTTACATTGGAAAAGAGCAGGTCTATTAAGAAAAAGGAGAAAGGAAGCAGAGAGCTGATGTGCTTTTGAGAAAGGAAAGTGTTTGTGAAAGGAAACACCTGCACAGAGACAGACAGTCTCAAGACAAGAGCTGCTATTAGGCAATATTTTTTAGAGCAGTGCTAGTCACAGCAAAATTGAGCAAAAGCACAAACATATCCCGTAATCCCAGTCATCAACATTGACACATAATCATCTGAAGTCCATAGTTTACATTAGGGTTTACTTTTGGTGTTGTATAATCTATGGGTTTTGGTAAATGTGTAATGACATGTGTGATTAGCTTTTTATGTCTTAACTTTTTTCTTTTTTTAACTTATCACTTCATACAAAAGTAGAGAGAATGGTTTAATAAACCTCCATGTTCCTATCACTCAGTAATTAACTTATAGCCAAAATTATTTTCATTGAAAAACCTCTCCCCACCTTCTATATTTTTTAAAGCAAATCATTAACATATTTCATATTTAAATATTTTAGAGGTATGCATTTCTAAAAGAGCTTTCCCCTTTTTAACATACCATTATCATACCAAAAATTAATAATTCATTAATATCAGTGTTTTATATTTCAAATTTTCATGGCATATGTCTCAGTATCATATCATAAATGTTTTTATTTTTATGATTTGTTTCAATCAGGATCAATTGCACAATTATATATTTTCTTTTAATCTATGGTCAGCCCTCCCTACCACCCCCAACCCAACTTTTGCTCAATAAATGTTAGCTGCTCTTATTCTAACAAGTGACTTCTATACATGAAGTTAACAAGTCTTATAGTTTGGACAGAAAGGACAATGGTAGGAGACAAGGTTAGAGGCCATACTCCACATCTGACAAGAGGGCTGGGCTGCCACACAGGATTACCAAGGAAACCAGATGAAAGCAACACCTATTATTTTCATTGCTGAACCCCAGGATTCCCGCTCTGAGCAAGAGACTTTAAATTTGAACTGTTCCTTCCAGAAGAGTACCCAACATCAGACTATAAAGTATGTTTCATGACCAAAGAATGTGTTTAGATATTGTGAAAGTGCAGTGGTCCCAAAACTGCAGATCTTCAGAGTTCTGCTATCAGTCAATCTAGGATTTGTTAAGAGCCCTAGTCCAGAGGTCCATTAGCAGTGATGTAGGGCAGAGTGGAAGACCAACACTGGAAACAGCCAGAGCACAGACTAGGCTACATGCCACAAATACTATTTAAATCGAATTGATTATCAAGTTTGCATCACTTCCTCTGTCCTGCCAAGCCTTCTCACTGTATTTAGTGGACAGTTTTAGAAACATTATAGAATAATAAAACAGGCATCTTCAGTCTCTGGTGATTAAATGCCCATTAGCAAATCTGTGTTCTACCCTGATTCACTGTTGTAAATACTGGGCAGAGGCTAGGAGTATCATCTGGATTGTTGCAAAATTTTTAAGAACAGTCTGACCCCTCTGCTTATGTCCAGTTGCACCTTGGTGGTTTCATTATAAAGCACTGAGAGTGGAGATAACTGTCAGGGTCAGCTGCAGGGGTGTTTTTCCTTATTATTTTTTGGAGGAATGGTAGGGAGTTTTGGATGTTGTTTTTTTAATTTACGGGCTCCTTCCCCCTTTCTATAGTGATGTAGTTGCACTGGTTAGAGGCAGCTAACATATTCTCTGAATATCCAAATCTAACTTTATTTAGACATCATAGATGGGCAAGCTTGATTGTCTGAACCAAAATGGGAACATTAAACAAATGTTAATAACATTGTGATTTTGCTGTCACCTGTAGAGTCTTCCCTTCAAAAACAAAGCTTGTGTGGTGATGGGAAGCCCGTGGGGATTACAATTGAGATAAAAAAAAAATGTGAAAAATGATGTAAAAATAAACTTTTTAATAAAAAAAAAAAAAAAAAACAAAGCTTGTGACCATTCTGTATGACTTGCTTGGAAATTTTCATAAATCTTATGTTTTAGTAAAATATATTTTGTTATTCTAACAAAAAAAAAAAAAGAAAGAAAGAAAAGGAAAACTAATAGTGGCTCTCCATCTTGCTTTTTCCATTCCCAGTTCCAGGCCCCTTTGTCCATGTTCCCTTCACCTCTTTCCTCTGGGACAGCTTACCCATTCTGTTACCTTGAACCAAACACCCCTCTTCCTTTTTCTGAGTTCTTGGTTCCTTGTTATGTTTCTCTTATTATTCAACTATCCATTGTTATTGTTATTAAAACTAAGCTTTGGGGCCCTCCCTGGTAGCCCAAAGGGTTAAACAGAAGCAGTACTAGGAAGCTAGCTGCAGCCACATCAGCTCAAGTTCAAGAGAGCTGACCCACATGACACAGCAGACCTCTCCAGTCTTGCCTGCTCCTCCCCTCAGCAGTGCACTTCATCAGTCTGCCTGTTCTGCTCCCCACTGCGTCTGGAGAATCCTATCACCACCGTTGTACCTCTGGCTGTATCCCAGTTCTGTATGCATAGATAAATAAATCTTTAAAAATATAAATAAAACTACGCTTTGGCTTTTTTAAACCCCTCTGTGCAGAAATGTAATGTTGGTGCCTAGATTTAAGTTCCTAAATTATGAACATCATTAAGTTAATAAACAGATGTTGAAATGTTAGTACCTAGATTAAGTTCCTAAGTTATGAACATCATTAAGTTAATAAACAGATGTTGATATATCTATGAAAATGAAAACAGGCAGCCTCTGAATAGATACATTTCTGTGAGCTTAACTCCAGAGCATGTGGACATTGCCCCTCAAAACTTTGTTGCCCTCAGTAGGGCATGAAGAGAAGAGACTAACCAGGTGACATCTACATGAGCACAGCAGCTAGCCAGGAAAGTTTAATGTGCTAATCAATAGCTCACTGATAAGCACAAAGATACTCTGAACCTGGGTTTCTGTCATGGCTGAATTCCACTCTGCTCCATGGCCAGGAACACGAGTAAATAGTAAAACCGAGGGAAACATTCTTTACTCAGGTAACCAAGCCAGGAGTCACACACCACTGATCTGTTTCAAAGGCAGTTCGGATATTCTCAGCATTTGAGAAGCGTCAGCATTCTGCACTCTCCTTTGCTTCCCAAAGTGGTAGGAATGACTCCTTGACACTGTGAGGCAGTGTAGTAAGTATGGAGACAGGGATCAGTGAAAACCCTCTATTTCTCTACAGGTGGTGACTTTCGATGCAGGGGGAGTGAGTGGCCACAGCAATCATGTCGCTCTGTATGCAGCTGTGAGGTAGGATTCTCCAAGTGTTGGAAGTGGGAGAGGGTTTGTTCTCAGAAGTACATTCATATCCTTTATCTGAACCCCATGAACCTTCCTACTGAATTATTAGAGAGTCAACATTGACCATGGCTCACTACATCCCTCAATCCCCCTTTTTGAGAAATCTCTCGCCAATCTTGTGTTTGGTGTCTCATTTCCTAAACTGTTAAGGTTTTTTACCTCAGAGATAGAGCAAAAGGGGTAACTGATTTTATTCCTTTCTTTACTTTGGTCACAGAAAGATGTCAGCCATATCTGTGCCCTTTTGAGTTTTGTGAAGCATTTTGTCTCCTGGCTTCATCTTTCTCCTCTATTTCTCACTCACCAGGTTGTCTTCTTTTGTATCTGCTGTGCATCATCTCAAATCTTTCTTTGGAAGGTAGTACAGAACATGGAGAACATAATATCTGTTTTTCAATCACCCTATTTTACAGATATAGAGCTGCATTTTATCAATAAGAATAAAATTGAACCTCAAAGATATGAGTGACTTAGTCAGGGTCCTACAAACATATGCCATGTTTCCTGTCTTAGAGAAGTGCTTTCCCTGGGCACGAAGAACAGTGGGCCCAACCTAGCTGCTGAGAAAGGAATGGGGCACCTTGAGGTGAAGGACTGAACAGGCCCAGTATTCTCAGAAGCAGGGACATATGTGAAGTTGGAAAAGAACCTCACCTACTATTAATTTCAGCCACCTTAAGTGAGACAGTAGTTTGCCCAGCACTACCAAGCTGAACGAGGGCAGAGGCAGAAATGGAATCCAGGAATCCTGGGTATCTATTCACTACTCTACCTGCTCTCAGAGAGCACTTATGACAGGTAAAACAAAGCAAGCACCACAGAACCAGGGAACACACATGCTGACCGTGTATGACATAGCTGCAGGAAGCACTTCTTAGAAGGCGCTGGCACTCCATTTCCAGGCCCAAAGCAGCTTCACTGCCTCAGCAGGCTCAGCCTGTCTCTGCAGCATAGGTGCTTTTTCCACTGCAGGCCCTGAGCCTTCACCCACCCACACATCTACAGGTCCTTCCCACTACGCTTCTAACACATGGAAGTCCCTTAGGTTCCCAACAAGGGGCACCCCTCCCTTCACCCTTCCTGGCCTCAGCTCCCTTTGTGGCCACACTGCCCACCTCAGACTAGGCAGCTGCTCCCTACCCCACCCCAGGAATTAATGCTTAGGGAGAACCATGTGTTTTCTTCTGCAAGGATTCCTATCCATCCACATTTCCCCTTCTTCCTTACCTCTGTGCCTGCCTACTACTCCCTAACTACTAAAATTGTTTTCTCTACAGTCACCTTCTGGCTGCTAAGTTACCTGGGTTCATTTTGGTCCTCACCAGTCTCAACCTGTCCATAGCATTTGACCCTGACTGTCACTCTTTAACACGCTGCTTTGACTTGTCTTGGTTGGCTTGACCTCCCTCCTCTGGCCCCTCTGGCCATTTCTTAGTTTCTTCCTGACTTCCCTCCACCAGAAGACCCTTCCATACTCCTGTGCCCGGGATTCCCTCCCCAGGCCTAGTCTCACCTCAGCACTGAGCCCCCCACCCATGGAATTCGTGTTTTAAGTGTGATGTCCAGGTGTTTGTCTCCAGTGTTCCCCTCTCTCCTTAATGTATATCCTCCATTCCCAACTACTTCCTTGGGGGTCCTCACCACCTCAAACTTGGAACATTCCTAGGGCTCTACCCGAATGCATGACAAGTCACAACCTCTGACTTCAGAATCCCAGAAACTGTTTTCCAGGTTTCCTATTTTTCAGGGCTTTGCCAGGGAATTAGTCCCACAAGTTTAGCAATTCTGTTCAACTTTCCTTTTCTGCTCCAAAAAAAACCCTTTTTTATATAAATATGTGCATTCTGTGGGTTGGGGGTGAGGTGAGAATTACTTATACTTTTGCATCCCTCAAATCATAACTGTGGGACCGCCTCACCAGGTAGTGAACACACAGTGGCCTTTACTGTCAGAGGTGGCAGTGGAGGAGGTCAAAAAGGAGAAAGGAACTATCAGGTAAGAAATATCAATAAATATTTTTAAATGCTTTCCTACCATACTTAACAACTGCAAAAGAAAAAAACTCTGAGACGTGATTGGCCTCCAGATGAGCTGTGCCCAGCATGGTATGGAATCCCAAAATCTATACAGCAATTTAGGCAAAAGAACATATCTAGGACCTCTAGGAGGCACTGCAGGGCGTGGGAGGCGTTACTCAAAAGGTCCGTCCTGTTACCTGCAAAGGAATTCTTACTTTCACACTTTCCTCCTCCAGGACCCTGCACTCAGAAGGGAAGCTACCTAAAGGTGAGGCCTGTCCCCTTTGTAAAAGGCTGGTAATTTTTATCCCTCTCAGAAACTTATTGGGGTGAAATTTATAAATAGAGGACTGCCCCAACCAAGCAGAGGTAGGGGGTGTGTAGGAGAGCAGACCATACTCTTCTTGACACAGCTCAGGGTGCCCATTGGCTCAGGTCCCCAGGTCTCAGAATGAGATTGTGTCCACTGAGAAGTGCCATGCTGGAAAGGGCTCCAGGTATGGAGGCCAGGTATGTTAGCCAGAGTTCCCCAGAAATACAGAACCAAAAGATTATATATCTCACATATAATTATGTATATACATATATAGAGATATATAAATGCATGTGTGTGTACACAAACATATAAAGTAAAGCCTCCATATGTACACTATCCATCTACCTATATGGATTAGCAGACACACCCAGAAATATTGTTTATTATTGAACATACATGAATTTATCTAGTTACCTCCTGACCCAGTCACATTGATACATGAAATTAACTGTCTGACAGGGCCTCACTTATCTAGATTTCTCAGTCTTTATGCCTCTGGAATTCTTTCATTCTGTTGTCCAAACTCACTGTCCACCCTACCCCCACAATTAATTAGACATAAGTGATGGGTGCTTGTCGGGCTAATCTGCTCGAGTTAGGAACTTAACCTAAGGGAAGGTATTTGCTTTCCCATGGCCATTACTGCATGTTGCCCGTGCTGAACCTCTCCACCCAGTGGAGTACTCACAGAAGTAATACAAAACTTAAACAAATGAAGACATGAGTAGTATGTGCCCTTTCTGAGTGGGTTTAGTGAGCTTTCCAAGCTGTGAGGTCTTTGGAATGCAACTATAGTTCACTTGATTCTTAAATCAACCCTGTGAGACAGGCAGTTCCCACACTCTGAACACCATTTTTCAGATGAGAAGCCGAGGCTTTGGGAAGGCCCTTTAGCTTTTTCCCAAGTCTCAGTTCTTTAGTAACACAGCAGGAAACACTATAACTCCCAATGTAAAAGTTTCTGTCTCCGCCCCATTTTCCTGGTTCTGAGGTAGCCAGATCCTGATTTCTAGCAACCCACCCTTTCTTGCTAAGGCATCTAGTAGGTATGGGCAGCCAGCCGGATCTTCTATGACTCTTTCTATCCATGAGAAAAACAGGCAGAGAGCAGCTTTGGTGCACAGAGTCCTCTGGTAACTCCATGTTCATTTCCCTACCATGAGCCCTATAAAAGCCAGTGTGTGTTCAGCAGAAATCTGCCTGGAAACAACAAGATCTTTTCCTTCTCCTCTCCCTGCAACTAGGGTGCTCTGTGCTCACGCTTCAGTCTATGAATGTGCTGCGCAAGTACATCTCCCTTCTGGACCTGCCCTTGTCTCTGCTTCATACCCAGGACGTCCTGTTTGTACTCACCAAGGAGGAAGTTGCACAGGCCAAGGTGAGGGTTACAAATGCCTGGACATCCCAACACCACATCTGTGCCCCAGACACTCTTATTTCTCAAAATCCCGCCTCTGTAGAGGTTCTAATCCAGGACCTTCCGTAGTGCTTCTACATCTGTCTCTGAGTGTCAGCACTATGCAGCTAGAGTCACAGATTTTTAGCAACTTTAACCTTCTTAATTATATTAATACATTTTTTAAAGTTAATAACAATACATGCTGATTGTGGAAGTACATAAAAGCCTCAAGAATGAAAGTAAAATAATGAATAAAAATTACCTGCAATTCATTCACCACCATTGTTAAGGTGTTGGGTCTTCACTATAAAGAATATTTATCTTGTAAGAATACATATAAATATATAAGTACATGTTTTTAATGGGATGGCAGCTTGCTTTAAGAACAGATTACGACCATCATCTCTTATGCCACTAAGTATTAGACTTGTAATGGCTGTCTATTATTCCAATGTATTGGAGTAATACACTGTGTATATATTATTGCACACTGGAACACTGGATATATTGTACATCATAAATGCCTTATTGTGCACATTTTAACTTACCATTTTTTCACGATTACACATGGAGAGGTGCTTTAGCTTGAGCCCAAAAGGGATTCAGGCCTGCCAGGAGTCTCTGTAAAGAGCCAGTGAGATAGACCACTATTTTCCATTGAGGAAGAGACCCACAGATACTCTGAGGACAAGTGAATTAGAGAGAAAGCACTAGAGTAGAACTGCTTCCATTTGTCTGTGGAGTCCCCAGTTCACTTCTGTCTACCACAGAAAGAACAGAGATGGGTAAAACGGAGAAAACTCAAAAAAATGGTTTGGATCTTTTTTTTCCTTTCTAAACTGACTGTAATAAACACTCATGCCTACCTTACAAGATAAGAAATTATGACTCAAAAAACCAAAAGTGAAATAATAGGTGGGCATAAAACAAAAATTAGAAAATTTGGAAATTAAAGCAAAATATGAAATAGAGAAAAAAGTTTGAAAGAACAATTGACACAAAGCATAGCTCAGGAGGCCTCAGTGTACATATATATACAGATGCTGCCGAAAGTTAAGGGTGGGTTTTACTTTTCCAACATTCTGAGGAAAAATAACTCAAACTTACTTCCAGCCAAGCACATTCACAAGGTAGAACATGCCAGTATTCAAAGGATAAGAGAATCTGTCTTTAGCCTTTCACTAAAAAAATTACTAAAGGATATACATAAGCAAGATAAGCAAGAAGAAAAATGAACCCAGGAAAATGTGTGGGGTATAAGAAACAATGAAGACTTAGTAAGCAGGTGTATGTCAGTGACAATATCCTAAACTACAGTGACAGAGTGGAGCACAGTTGGTCACAGAGTATTTGAACAGGCTAAGAAAGATTCTGTGGTAAGGAAGACAAAATTTTAATACTAGCCTATGAGTTCACAATACCTATTTTGCTTCTGAAAGCAATTTTATTTAAAAGATTTCACTGTATTTACTGTTGAAACAATGCTACATAATATTTTGCTTGACTCTCTCCTATAATGATAGTCCTTGTCATTTAAAGCTTGTGGTTATCACACATATATTTATATCTTAAAAGTCACGTATGTTCTGACACTGAATATAAAATTAGTTCTTAATTAAAGTTTTGCAGTGATAGTAGCTCTAGAGGCAGTTTAACTATGGTACTTAGAGAAAAATAGGCAGAAACCATTTATAGATCTTATATCTAGTTGAATTAGTTGTTACGATCTGTTCAAACTATACTAGGTTTGAATAATAAAATAATAAACATTTTCCCTACTAGTGGCAAGGGGACCATCCTTTTTTTCTTCTAGTAGTAATTGTACCTTCCTAGCTTACCTTATTCAGATGAATTTGACCACCACATTCTAGCTTGCAGCCCATTAAACATGCCTGCATTTGTTACATAGGCAAGGCAGTGAAGCAAGTGATTAAGAAAGCTCCAGAGTCCGGTGGCTCTGGATTCAAATCTCAGCTTTACTACCTACTAGCTACTTGAAATGTATGCGTTTCCTCAATTATTAAAAACAATAAGTATTTAACTACAGGATTAAAATTAAGCTGATGCATGGAGACTGAGCACTCGACCTGCTGTAAACTGTATCTGCTACTATGACAGGGTTTTTAGTAGGAGTTAAAAAGGGGGCAGCAGATTCCAACTCTGTCTCTGGTGAAGCCTCTCACGACCCCTACACCTCTGGCCTGTACCCCAGTTCTATGTGCATAAATAAATATATCTTTTAAAAAAAAAAAAAAAGAGGGGGGTGGGAGAAGAGATTAGACAACAATCCAGAAGAAGAAATCATGTGCAGGAAGAAATCAAAGATGGCTCTACTGCATGAGGTTTGCAAGTGGGAGGAAGGACTCAAGGTGATTACAGCAGAATTGGAAACAGAAAAAGCTCCAGTGTAGCATTCCTAACTAATCCTCTTGATTCTTCTAGAGAGCCATGTCCTGCCACCGCAGCCAGCTCCTGTGGTTCCGCCACCTCTACGTAATCTTTTCCCGGTACATGAAAATCAACTCTCTGGACTTCCTCTAGAGGACTTGAAGAGGTTCTGACCCAATGAACAAAGTGAGAAGAGAAAAAAAAAAACAAAAAAAACAGCCCAAGGCCTGGCCTGGAGCCAAAGGAGATCCCTCATAGGGGAAACTCTCAGACTCTGCTCGTCCATGGGTAGCTCAGTTTCTAAAATAAGGCCAAATTTTAGTTCTTTCCTTTGGAGAAAAGAAATCCCAACAGCCCAACGATAATAATAACTACCTTAATAGCTTCTCCATCTTGTGAAAACAATTTACATAGTGACACAATGTTTGTCAAATACCTAGCAAAGAACCTACTACTATTTGAATAAATGTAAAAGTGCTCCAAAATCACTTCACAGATTTGGATGATGCAATATTCCTACATTGTCACCAGAGTCTATATTGAATTCATTTAACCCTAATTCCTTTATCTTTGTGCCTATTTATCACTTGAATCTGGAGAAAACTGCAGGCAGGAGTGCTAAAGTGCCAATCACTGTGCAAGGTGCTGTTTCAGAGTCTGCTATGAGGTAGGCCCTGCTAGCAAAGGACTCAAAATCAAATGCCTCAGTTTATAGTCTTTAAAGAACAGCAGGAAATAGGAGAAATCTAGACTTTTTGTAACATTCAAGAACCTGATGTCAAAGAATTGTACTACAAACAAAATTTCTCTGAACTCTGGCTTAGAAGCTACTTCCCAAATCCAGTAACAGGCCAAAGAATGGCCCAAGATGGGGACATGCTGTAGTGAAGAGCACCAGCTCTGCCAGCTAGCTAGTGGCCCTGAGTGAGAGGCCAGAATTACCAGGCAACCACATGCAAAGTGCTTGATCTTTCCCTTCCCCAGATCTCTCATCTACAAAACGGGCTGATAATGGTACCAAGTGAGAAATGATGACGCCTAAAGGCACATGGTATAGGGCCTGGCACACAGTAGGTGCTGAAGAAAGATGACCTGTTCTTATTCTGAGACCTGAAAGAGGGAGTTGTAACAGAGGGACTTGCATAAAAGTCAAATCTTACAGAAAAGAGATCTTGGTATTCATTGTCCAAGGAGTGTTCTTTCTGCCTGTCAGAGAAGGCCAGAACTGCTCTCTCCATGCCTATCGGTTACAGGCCTGCTTATTCAGTCTCTCAGCCCAAACTTGCTCTGCTTTGCTGACAGTCACCATTATCTTGAATGCCCCCTGGGCACCAACAAAGCCTGACAGTTATTAGCCCTACAGCTGAAATAAAAAACACACATATGGAGGTCTACTTAAAACAGGTCAGTAGTTACTAGTAGTCATTATGTAAAGTGTAACAAGAAAGAGCCACTAACACTGGCTAGACTGATGAGATAGGCTGTCTTCTAGGAAGGCAGATACTGACCCAGCATTCTTAATATGCAGTAAGAGCTTCTAAAAGACTTATACCTTATGACCTAAGGAGCTATTTTTAAAAAATCAAAATTAGATGAGATTCATATGAACAACAAAAGACCTCAAATAGCCAAAAAACAGAAAAACAGAAAAAACAGAATGGAGGCATTACAATCCCAAACTTCAAGCTATACTACAAAGCCATAATAATCAAAACTGCATGGTACTGGAACAAGAATAGATATACAGATCAGTGGGTTCAAATAGAAAACCCAGATATAAACCCACAAGTTTATGGATAGCTAATTTTTGACAAGGGAGCAAAGAAGATACAATGGAACAAAGAAAGTTTGTTCAGCAAATGGTGCTGGGGAAACTGGGAAGCTACATGCAAAAAAATGAAACTAGATCACTACCTCACTCCATTCACAAAAATCAACTCAAAGTGGATTAAAGACCTAGACATAAGAACGGAAACCATAAAATACCTGGAAACAAAGATGGGCCAAATGCTACACTACATACGCTTCCAAGACATCTTTAAAGATAGAGCACCCAATGCCACAACAGTGAAGGCAAGGGTAAATACATGAGACTACATCAAGTTAAAGAGCTTCTGTACAGCAAAAGAGACATTACAAAAAACAGACAGCCCACTAATTGGGAAAACATTTTCTCATACAAAACCAGCGATAAAGGACTGATCACAAAAATATACAGAAAACTGATGAAACTCAACAAAAATAAACAACCCTATCAAAAAATGGGCAGAAGAGCTAAAAAGACACTTCCCCAAAGAGGAAATGAAAATGGCCAACAAGCATATGAAAAAATGTTCAACATCACTCATAATAAGGGAGATGTAAATTAAAACCACAATGAGATACCACCTCACCCCAGTGAGAATGGCACATCTTCAAACAACTAGCAACAACAAGTGTTGGTGAGGATGTGGAGAAAAAGTAACTCTCTTGCATTGCTGGTGGGAATGCAAACTAGTACAACCACTATGGAAAACTGTTTGGAGGTTCCTCAAACTGCTTAACATGGAGCTTCCCTATGACCCAGCAATCCCACTCCTAGGTATCTACCCAAAAGACACAAAAACATTGATTGAAAAAGATACCTGTACCCCCATGTTTATTGCTGCTTTATTTAAAATTGGAAAAATATGGAAGTAGCAAATGCCCAAAAGTAGATAACTGGATTAAAAAGATGGGGTACATATATACAACGGAGTATTACTCAGCAACCAAAAAAAAG